GAGACTCTGTCTCAAAAAAAAAAAAAAAAAAAAAAATAAGCTTGCAAACTATTTGTGTCTAGAGAAGAAAATAAAGGGCTAAGAATTTACACCCACATTTTGGGGATGGGAAGAAGAGCTGGGAGAAGCACTTGATAGAAGTCTTTTGGAAGAGACAGACAAGCAAAGGACTAACATAGGTCCAAATAAAATAAGCCCTTTAACAGAGGGACAAGGTTGTTAACTCAGACTAGGGGAGGAATTTGGCAGAGAAGACTGCAAAAAGATAAGAAGAGTTTCATAGATAAAGAAGGAAGAAAACCCAAGCCTAAAAGAATAACATTATAAGCACAATAGGGTGTAGGGCTGGGTGACCCTTCTAGCACCCCATCAAGGACCACGTCCTACAGCTACAGCTTGCGGTACCAGTGATGTGGGGCTCATCTCTAATTAACAGTCCTTTCCACCACGGTCAATGCTAGAGAAAAAAAAGAATAAAAAATAAATAAAAAAGAATTAACATGATCCAGAATCTTGTAAAAAGGTTTTCTTAAGAGTGTGACCTTATGACATCATAATTTCAAATACAATTTGTAGGAATGTGAAGAAGCAATAGCATATGGCGAGTTTCTAAAATCTCCATTCATCAACTACTATGATGACAAATATGAAATTCGAGAGAGAGAGAAGAGACTAAAACGAGAAATAAAAGGTATGTTACTAGACTTCTTGTTAGATCACTTTTGTAGTACTTTCTAAATTTCTTTTTTTGTACTGTCTTTGCCTTTGGGGGTCATTGGTTAGCATAGAAAATATTTTTAATAATTACCATAGAAACTAGAACTTTCTTGATCTCCAGAAACCAAGCACCTACCTCACAAATCCTACATTGCATGTCTGTGGTGGGTGGGGGAGGGAAGAGTGAGCGACAGAGAAAAAAATGCTGTGTTGTACTCCATTCACAGTAGACATTTTCTTTTCTTTTTTTTTTTTTTTTTGAGACAGAGTCTGGCTCTGCTGCCTGGGCTAGAGTGCTGTGGCGTCAGCCTAGCTCACAGCAACCTCAAACTCCTGGGCTCAAGCAATCCTTCTGCCTCAGCCTCCCGAGTAGCTGGGACTACAGGCATGCGCCACCATGCCCGGCTAATTTTTTTCTATATATTTTTAGCTGCCCAATTAATTTCTTTCTATTTTTATAGAGACGGGGTCTCGCTCTTGCTCAGGCTGGTCTCGAACTCCTGACCTTGAGCAATCCACCTGCCTCGGCCTCCCAGAGTGCTAGGATTACAGGTGTGAGCCACCACGCCTGGCCCACAGTAAACATGTTCTCACATAGTGATCGTTTTAGAATATGTCCAGAAAATGGTGCTATCCATCTATGTATGCAGAGTTTTTAAAGACTCCTTTGAGATTTTTCTGTTCGAGAAGGAATTACTTTTTCCTTTTGTGTGTCTCTAGTATTCTTCAAGGAAAGAAAGGCTTTCCTGCTCAGTTATTTTTTTTGAGACAGGGTCTTGCTCTGTCACCCAGTCTGAAGTGCAGTGGCACAATCATAGCTCCCTGCAGCCTCAAAATCCTGGGCTCAGGATCTTCCCGCCTCAGCCTCCTGAATGGCTGGAACTACAGGTATGTGCCACCATACCTGGCTATTTTTTAATTATTTGTAGAGACAGGTTCTCACTGTGTTGCCCAGGCTGGTCTCTAACTCCTGGCCTCAAGCAGTCCTCTCACCCCAGCCTCCTAAAGTGCTGGGATTACAGGTATGAGCCACCATGCCCAGCCCAGTCATTTCTTATAGGCCACCATTGCAAGCAGAGCTTCATGTCCACAGCTACCTCTGTGGTTTCTGTATTTACTATTGCTAACATAAAGTTCTTTCTCACCAAATTAATGTCTTATCATTTAAGTTTACTTTCTCTAACTCTGTTCTTTCTAATTGTATACTTCAACATGCTTTTCCAAATTACCTTTCTTGCTTTCAGGACAAAATAGTTCTATATTTTTTGAGTTGTTCTATATATTGCTTTCTGACTTTTTTGCCCTTTTTGTTATTTTTTTTCCTGGACTCTCAGTTCATGTCCTTTTCAAAATGAAGTTACTAACTCTGAAAAAAGTAGAGGAATTACTTCTCATAGCTCCTGTATGTTTTACATATTGTATTTAATATAGAATTATCTCAACTATAGTTGTCCCTCAGTATTGGTTCCAGGATCCCTCTCATATACCAAAATCTATGCATCTCAAGTCCTACAATTGTCTCTGCAGAACTTGAGTATACAAAAAGTCAGCCACCTATATCCATAGGTTTCACATCCTTCAACTGCTGGGGGGGGGTTTGTTTGTGTTTTTTTGTTTTGTTTTGTTTTTTGAGACAGGTCTTACTCTGTTGCCCGGGCTAGAGTGCAATGGTGTCATCTTAGCTCACCGCAATCTCAAACTCTTGGGCTCAAACAATGCTCTTGCCTCAGCCTCCTGAGCAGCTGGGACTACAGGCACACACCACCATGCCCAGCTAATTTTTCTGTTTTTTGTAGAGATAGGGTGTCGCTCAAGCTGGTCTCAAACTCCTCTCCTCAAACAATCCTCCCGCCTCAGCCTCCCAATGTACTAGGTTTACAGTCATGAGCCACCGCGCCCGGCCTCAAATGCTATATTTTCAGTCTGCTTTTGGTTGAAAAAAATTCACATGTAAGTGGACCCATATAGTTCAAACCCATGTTGTTCAAGGGTCAACTCTGTGGTGAAATTATAGTGCATGAGGATTATGATTAGGCAATTTAATTAGATATACTTTTCTGTTTTTCCCAAGTTTTCCATAATGAGCAGTTATAACTTTCATAATCAGAGAAAAAAGTTTGTTTTCCTTTTTAGCTGGCTGTATCGACAACTCTGTAGCATAAATACACTTTGAGGTTCACTATGATCCATTGAAATGTATATTTCATGCTAAAAGTTTTTACTGACCACTTCTTTACTCTTTCAAGATTCTGTTGACATGTTAGTTTTCATTCCTCACTGTAACCTCATCTCCCGCCTACCCCTATCAGAATCACTACCATTGGAGATGCATATTAAGTGCCGAGTCCTGACAAAACATAACATCAGCTCTGGCACTGAAACCTCCAAAATGCATGTGCATGTCCACACCCAAGCACGCACTCTGCAGGTTCGTGATCTATATACTCTGGGAGAGTAATCTGGGCAGTTCGGCATCTACCTATAAGTACTGTGGCCAGGCTTTATCTTTAGAGAGTAATTGAAATGTCATACGAGACTGTCAAAGGGACATTTTATACATCTTGCTTGGCCCTGTCTTCTAGGGCTGTCTCTTTATCACTAGAGAGAACTTGAGTTGGTCAGACATGACTTTTCCTCACAAAGCTAAGATGATTACTGTTCTTTCTGGTCCTCATCTTCATTGTTTAACCTAGTTAAACTATGTTGAATAGAATAATAACTATTATTGGATTTCTGAATGTTTTCCACTTTTAGCAATCAGGAATATAGAACTGCAACCATTCAATTTCGAGTGAGTGATTTTTTTTTTTTTTATCTTAGTAAGGGTTCTTTAGAATGTCATTGTTAACACATTTAAATGTCTAGCTTCCCTGTCTACTAAGTTATTTACAGACTTATGAAAGCTTGGCATGGACTGTCTTGCTGATAAATATGCAAAAATACTTTTATATTTTCTAGTACTCCAGAGAAGTGGGCATATTCCAATGTGGTTCACGATATCTTCTGTGAAAAGAGCAGATGAGAGTCCCCCCCATTATACGAGGAAGAGCCGCGCCTTGCGGAAGAGTAGCAGGTGGCCTCAAGAAGATAAAGAAATGATGTACAGGAATAGAGACCGTAAAAAGAGCAGGAAAGCTGACAGACATCGTGAAGTGGATGAGGATTTTCCCAGGGGCCCCAAAACTCACTCTCCTGGCATTATTAAAACCTGGAAGCCTCATAAGTCCTTTCACCATTCATCGCATTACCACAAGTCAAGAGAAGACAAGCTTCCCAAAGAGGGCAAGCGGGGCAAGCAGAAGAAAAAAGAGAGATACTTGGAAGAGGATGGCAATGATAATTTATTTCTTATTAAGCAGAGGAAAAAAAAATCTAAGCCGTACAACAGCCTCTGATTTGACTTTCCATTGTTCATTTGGTCTTCGTATTTGTAGCATTCTGCCAGTATTTTTATTATTTATGATTAAACAAAGTGAAGTTTTTTTAATTTTAGCCATTCCTAGAGTTTTGGAACAAAACCCATGAGGATCTCATTTCTCTGTGTCCAACAGATTATTTGGTAAGAAAATAGATAAACTTGGACTTCTCCTGTTTCAATGTCATTTTTACTCAGAATCCTAGGTGTAAGAAGAATTCATCTTTTCAAGAAAACTTTTTAAAAATACTTTGAAAAAAAAGTAAAAGCTTAGTGAATGTAATTCATCCACAATGTGAGTATGAAAATTAAATCTTGCTAGAAAGAGAAATTAACACTAATAAGAAATTTTCAACAGTCTTTTTCAGCATTTTTTTAAACAATTGGAAAGGGCAATAGCTATAAATCTAAATCCAGTTTTTCTTTCTTCTGAACCTGTTGTCAGAATCCTTCTTTGGACAGAACACCTGCAAACTGTAAAAACAAAGGTATCATTGAAGCCCTGAAGAGGCAGGGAATTGGGCTTTAACAAAATACAGATAAGGAATCCATCTAGTATAAATGTCACAAGACAAATTTCCTAAAACAAGTGAAAACAGAGTCATCAAAAATTTTAACATAATCACAGTGAAATGGCTTTTTATTATTTTTACAGCCACATTTCAAGAAGACTCAGATCTGTAGAGAAGAATATTACCAAATTAAAACATTGTTTTGTTTTCGTGGATTTTTTAACTGCCACAAAGCTATATAGAATTTTTTGTACTTTGTGAACCTTTTGTGCTTATCAAAGCCTAATGTTTGAATAAGAAAAATAAAATGTCTGAAATAGAGTAAATAAATGTGTCTTATGTAAAAAGACATTGAGAGTTCAGGTGACACAGAGCATAGCTGTGTTGGATAGGCGACTAAAGTTACATCACTATAAACTGGAGTAAAAAAATGCCCATGTTGCCCAAGCACAAGCTCTCTGCCAGAATAAAATGGTATGGAGTCAGTTAAATAGGACAATTTTATAATGTTGGATTTTTTTTTTTTTTTTTTTTTTT